AATGACTGCTGCTCTTTATGATGATTTGTCCACCACTTAAAAAGACTTCAGCAAAAGATTCAATTGTCTAAAATACTTCGAAGTACAGTAATTAAATGCTTTAGACCATAAACATATCCCTCATCTATTGTGTTGCTAGGAAACACATGAGCAAAATCTATCATTCGCACTTCTACTTCCGCAATCTCTTGGCAACCAGTGGGAAGATGGTAAAAAACTTTTTCCAGTTGGGAAAGTACATTTCCATTTAAATGTTCCTGTGACATGCTTTTCCACCCATTGTCTTGCTCCATATTTTCAACTTTCAATGAAGTCTGACTGTGATGTTTTTTTGAATACATTTTTCTGTGACGAGCATACATCTTGGATAAGCTTTTGCCTACTGAAGCCTCTATTTTTCCATTTGCTGTGGAACTTAACACATGAAAGTTATTGTTGTACTCCAGTAACTCTGTGTCTGACAATTGTCCTTTGGACAAAAACTTTCCTGCCAAAGTTCTGTCACTTGATTTTGTAGTGGTTGGCTGAGATGAACCTTCATAAACAAATAGTAATGAACTTGCATAAAAGCTAAGCTGTTTCTGGCTTTCAAACCACTGCAGAATTTTCTCAATCTTCTGAATACTGGCAGCAATAGCATCTTTTCTTAGACAGAACCCATTATGAAAAAACTTGGAGACTCCATCCTTTATAGTTTCTTTTGTTAAGCTTGTTCCATAGTGCTGATTTTGTGTCTCATAGCTATCAGAATGAACATGATAAACCCTCATGCCAAGCACCAAGAACCCAATCTCTTCCATTAATGGGTACTTGCTGACCTGTTGCTGAATCTTCTCGGATGAGGCAAAAGGATCATAGCTTTTTCGCCCAGATCTTTACATCCATTATACAGGGCTTATTAAATTTATGGGTCACATCTTCCAGTTTTAGGTATAAATCATTTGGTGCAGTGGGAGGTGACCAGATGCCATAATATTTTGGCAAATATTTTCGAAGCTCTAGAAGAACACCATGACTACAATCAGCAGCATAAACCATATTATAAAATTCCAGCTCTCTCGGGCCCCTTGGAGGTGGCTGTAACTGTTTCAAAACTGTGCCATCTGGGTGTTGCAGTATACCCACTTTGTCCTTTCCGTACATGTGCCCGGCCACCTGATGCGACAGGGGCACGCAGCCGTTGAGGAAACGCAGCCTGCCGCCCGCTGGTTGCAGGGCGCCTTCGGGGGCGGCATCGCTCACCGGTGGGGTCCGCATCTCTGGGGCGCTGGGCGCCTCGAGCCGGAGGGGGGATGGCGGCTCTGTTGCCATAACCGTGTGCACAAGCGGTAACGGTGGCGAAAGGAGGAAAAAATAGGGAGTAGGGAGCGAGTGCCTGAGAACCCGGGGGTCGCTCAGGCTCGGCCTCGAGGAGGCCTGGGGGTTCCCGCGGCTGGTGCCCGCTGAGGCCCGGGAAGGGGGCCCATGACGCCGCGGAGGCGCGGGTGCTCCCCTGCCCAACTCTGCGGACCGCGGCTCCCAGCTCCCATCCCTCCGCCGCCGCAGCCGCCGGTCCCGCCGCTGCCCAGGAGACGGAACCGAGCGGAGCAGCGGCCACAGCGGCGCCCCGCGCTCTAATTTGATTTTAATTGGAGTCAGTGGTCTAACACTAATAACAGTCAAAGGACAGCTATAATACCAAAAATAAAGTCAACATTTAGAATTGGAGTAAAAAATAATATTTAGTGATAAGAATCCCTTAATTTGATACTTTAAAAATAATAACAACCTGTCATGAGGGGGTAAAATTGTAACTTATGCAGCTGGGAGAGAAATAAAGAATGTCCAGACACTTCTGCCCCTTTCAATGCTTTATTCATTCAAAATATACAATATAATTTCACTCTATAAGTTCTTAATAGAGAAAATGGTGATTCTTATTGCTAGGCACTGCATAGACATAATAAATTCACAGCAAACAATTTAGATTAATTAACCACAGCAGACAATTCTAGATTATTTTGTAGTTTTATTCTAAGAACTGCAAAATATACTTAATTATGACAGGCTAGTGACAGACATTCCCTTTGCATGCTATGTTCAAAAGTCTCAAGCCTTAGCCTTTATGTCCAGCAGATGCACACTCACTCAAACCACAGTAATAAAAAAAAATTAGGTCCAGAACCAAGGCAGGCTATTCCTGGCATGAAGTAGATGACCTGTTGAGGAGAGGTTCTTAGGAAGAAGCTGAGGCTCTCACCAAGATCCAGATGAGGTTATAGAGTTTGAGAGTGTTGAGGATCTCACAGAGGGTAAGGAGAATTATGACAAGTAATGAGATGTCAGTCCAGTTCCTCATCAGGCTCTCCAGCTCAAGTGCATCCTTGTTTCAGTTGACTGAATCCCTGTTCATTAGCTCTAAATTTACACTAAATTTGGGGGTTTTATAAATCCCCTTGCAATCCTTATCAGCTGCCACCAGATTTCTCCAGGACATCATTTACCCTGGGGTCAGAAACATCTGGTCTGGCAATCTCCACCCTTATCTTCTCATTTTATCTTCTTATCAGGAGAGGACAACCTGCCAGAGACTTCACTGTGTTTATCAGAGTAAAGGAAAATAATTGTCTGAGGACATATTGGAGAGATCTGTGGGTGTGCCTAGTGAGACTGCAGATTTCAAATTGGAGTTTTTAAAATGGAGTTGCTTAGGCTCAGGCCTAAAGCCATTCTTACCATCCACCCACTTGATTCACATTATACATCCTGGGAAAGGGGGTGCCTGAGCTTGGCACTGTGAATCATCCATTCCATTGGCCAAATGCCAGACTTCACATATGTCCAAAAGTCACTGTTCATTGTGGCTTGTTCATTATTCTATAACCACCAATAGTGATCATAGTTGAAGTACATCTGGTTAAGAACAAAATGGGTGCAATGTACCCAGGGACTGAAATTATAATATAATCAAAATCAAGTGGTATGATAGGGTTGAGACATTTATAAGTTTTTCTTTCTTGTAAGTCCCAATGGACTAATTCTGTTACATTGTCCCAGTTGATTCTAATAGT